ACCTATGTGCACCTGAGGGATGGATCAAACTTCTACTATTAATGAGAACACACAGACTAGAGATGCACGGCAGTGCAGATACATTTAACAATGGTCTCTGAAGTGCCCTGAGCAAACTTCTCCAGATCCTGTATTGGAGATCGATGCAGCTCTACAGCACATTTGGTTTATGCACAAACTCTTCATTTTTCCTTCTCAGCATTTCTTTTTTTGTGTGTGCTTGTTTTGGTTGGTTTTTTGTTGTTGTTAGGTTGTTTGTTTTTTTTCCATTATAAAGACACCATGGCTCTCACACTTTTAAGACCACCTACATATAGACCTTGAGAAGCTATCCTTAACTTAGATCTTTAGGAGGTATTCTAATGACTCACTGCCATTCAGTCAGTATGCCAACAAAAATCAAGTCCTCTCCCATAAGCTGGCCTTCACTTTTTATTATTTAGGTGCTAAATGAAATGCTTACTGCCTTATTTTTCATAGCACAGCCAAGAAAGAAGGATTGGTTCATATGTGACAGAACTGGAAAAAAACAAGTCTGGAATAGGTCTTTGCAGTAAAAGGGAGCTAGTGGCTTAGATCTTGTCTCTTCTCAGTTGTGTTGGGGTCTCCTGGCAACACAAACACAGATGGCAGACGATTTCATTACTTGCTGCTACATCTGAGCTTTCTGACACTCAAATATCTTTTGGTGTATAGTTCCTTAGAGTTTAGGACAGTAGAACATGGAGGGTGGGTTGTGAATGGAGGACAGAAGGTTACATAAGGAACTGAGGGAGACAGGAACTGGAAACAAGATGACGTAGGATAGATTTGGAAGAACAGGGACTAGATCCAGTTCTTTCCCCTTCCCATTTCAGCACAACTGAGGACTAAGCTTCCCATCAATGTAGCAGCTACCTGGGCTGAGGCAGCAACAGTAATAGTGAAGCTCATCTCCAAAAGCAGAACACCCATCTCACTAGTTGATCATCAAAGGAATACTCTTTGTCACTCCAACCAGGTATTTAACCTCTTCTTAAAAATTCCAGTGTGAGACATCCCAGAGCTTTCCTAGCAGTTACATTCCCATACAGCAGGTGTGCTCCAGTCTCTTCTTTTCAGGCAGGACTGCCTTTGGGAGTTCATCAGTACTGCCAGGGCAAAGGAAAATCAAGCAGGTGATGGGCAATAAGCATAAAAATATGGAGCACTGTAGAACTTGAGCCTTCCCAGAGGTCTCCTCTATCTTCACTCTCAGAAGGCACTCATGGAGTGAAGTGGATGGGTGAATAAGGCAGGAATAAGGAACTGATAGATTTATACTTTGGGACAAGATGTGGGACTATCAGATCTAGCCTTCAGTGTTTCCTGTTGGTTTTTGAGCCAGGAATTATCTAAATTCTCACATTTCACCCAATTAGTAATGCCTTCTTCATCCAAACTAAAACAGGAAAAAAAGCCCCAGATAATAGGATTCAAATATCAAAACTGATTTGCTCTTGGGATGCTTTGGAGGGGTAAGTGTGATGAAGATGTGCATAACCTAGAATTTGTGTAAGGGAAATCTGTAATACAACATGAATCTGGACTGCCTTCACTGGAGCATCTTTAGAACTTTTGAAAACAGGTGTAACTCTGAGGTAGCTCATGCTGATTAATGCTGGCTGGACACTAGATTTTTTTTTTTTTTTTTTTGCATGATACAGTGGAGATTTGAAAGGATAGACTATCTTAATTCACAGCATGTACAGGGAAGTACTTAATTGCTGCAGTTATTTTTAATGCTGAAGCTGACTGCAAAATTTAAATCTTAAAGTCAAAGTTTAAATACCAAAAGAACAATTTAAAAGATATCAGCTAGGCTACTTCTGGATATATTAGAAGCTGGATATATTTATAGCATATTAACTAATTGTTTTTTGCATTATTTACTCAAGCATTTATAAAAGATTCAGCATCGAAGCAGAGAATATAGTTACAATGAATAATCTGCATCCTTTATTCAGTGTAAATTTATTCAGGTCTCCAAGCACTATGGGGATTAGCATTATATGCACAGTGAAAAGGATGAAATGGAAGTTTAAACTGATGCACCATAAATGTTCCCATTGAATGTTTTAAGCTTTTTTTTTTCTTCCCATTAGCATAGCTTATTCTGTCTATAGATGCTGGGGTGAAAGAAGATTCCTGTTGTTAAAAAGAAAGACCCTCTTGTTAGGAATGCTCAAGAGGGAGACTTAGCATAAGACTTCGTAGGGATGCTCCACTCTTTCACTTAGGACACTGTCAATCATCATGTTGTAATCCTGTGTGTGGGGGGGAGGGGTTCTCCACTTTTTTCTCCTCTGCTACTAGTATCTTGGTTATAAATTCAGGTTTAATGCTCTGAGCACAAGTAGTACAGAAATACCAGTCAGGTAATCCAACAAAAAAGACAGAAATACTCAACTAGACCACTCCTATTAAAATATATTCCTGTGACTCAGGCTATATATGTACGATATGGTATGATGATTGATGCACATCTACCTATTACTTTCCACTGCTTCCCTGCCTCCTCCCTTTTCTCTTCTCCCTGTAGCCCTAACTCTTCTTCACAGACTTTCTTTCACTGACATATCCATTTGACCTGACAAACTCCCTTCTGCACCACTGAACCAGGGAAGGGAAGCGTTTTTATGCAGTTTCATCGATTTGCATTTGCTGTTTAATGAGCACTGGTGGGGATAAAGCTCCTCTAAAGATGTTTCTCTTGTTATTTAAGAAAACTTCTAAGTTCTTTTGTGAAAGAAAAATTGAAATTAACCCAAAGCAAAATTGAAAGATTTCATTCTATCTCCTTTAGTCTGTCTGGACATTTTCTGTCAGGGAACGCAAAATGCTTTATTTTATCATGCACTGCCTTATAAAAAAGAAAACATGCCCCCAAAACTTGCAACTCGACACACTCAAATCCCAGCTTCCCTTAATGAAGCACTCTGTGCTCACTGAATTTTTTGCTGCATCAATAAATCATGTACAGTTCTCTTCCTGAATACAAATAAGCTTTAGGTCCTACACACAGAAGCCACCATTACAGCTCACCCAATGCATCAGTCAATGAAACCATGTGCATGCTTGGGAGTTTAAAAGCTATGACCATTTTTCAAGGCCATACATGACCTGGACAGTGTTATTAAAGGGCTTGAGTAACCCAGTAAGTGTCACACACCCAACCAAGTTAGAAGCATGCAAACAGATTACTCACCTCAAGCACAAGAAAAGCATAAAGGCAACTATAAGGGCCCCTACTGATATACAGTGGCCCAGGTAGTTTATGATGAGAGCAATCTTGTAATGGAGCGCATACTTCCTCTGGAGGTAAAGAGATAACATGATTAAATCAGCATGACTCTCGAAACACTGACATTAAGGAACAGTTAATCAGTTTAGGAAACAGTAATTACTTTTCTCGACTTTAAAATGATATAATAGCCCCAGGGCTGATGCCTATGTATAAGTCAAACATGCTGCCCAGGCACAGAAGTACAGGCTTGGTTTCATTCCAGTTTGGGATTTGTCCAGTTTCTTACAAATCCCATCAAAAAAAGTGGGTTTTTTTCCCCCCTCATTTTCTGCAATTTCCTCAAGATTTCTTATTTCCATTATTATGCTATTTTAAAGCTTTGTCATTTTAGGATGACAAAGCTACCAAAGATGTATCTTCTCACCATTTCAAAAGTTATAAAACATTATTTTGTTAGGAAACTGCATGGTCTTTGTGAGCCAGGTTATGTTACTTTTTTTACTCAAATGGTTTGGTTTTCATACAAAAATGAATCAGTTGTCAGTAAGAATAAATAATAAGCCCTTTCCATGCAGGCAGATTTTTCTCTGAGGCACATTCCTTGCAAGCTACGATCCTTATCTTTCAAACTGAGGGCAGAACCAATGCAGACTGAAAGAGCTGGAATCTGGTGGTGTCTCTTCAGTTTTGAGAGAGCCTGAAAGACCAGAGATCCTGTCATTTTTATCAGTGACCCAAATATGTGCTGAAACTTAATGTATTATTGCCTATTTCCTGGGATGCTGGGGAGATTATTGGTAGGTTCTTGATCCTGCAAATAAAAACTTAAGTACGAAAGTGCTCCCACCTAATGAATTTAGTGATGTGGCCAAAATTTGACCTTGAATTAACTGGAACATTCTTTTTTGGTGGGCTGCTGCTGGCTTCAAAGAGAAGCATCTCCTCTCTTTGCCTGATGGATAGGAAGAAGTAGAAAAACACTATTCAGATAAATACTGAAGCAGGTAAAAAATTGGCAGAGGTTTGCTACTTAAAGAATAAATCCTCCTGAAAAAAATATATTTATTTATTATTGGCATTTGTTTCTGATTTCAGGTTAGGCAGATCTTTCCCCATTTTTGGGTTGTTGTCCCCCTTCAGAAGAATGAGACCTTTGAAAACTAACTACCTAGATTTCCTCTCTTGTGATAAAAATATAAAAGTAAAAACTTACAAATGGCATCAGTTTTCTAATTTTGGTTGAACTTCCTTTGTTTCATTTTTTCTAACATTTTATTCCAGTCAAAGGACTTTGTTAGTGAATGAATGTTTGGATGAAACTAAAGCCAGCAGCTGTAGTTAATCTGTCCCATTGTTCTGTGAAGACAGCATCTTCCAGCATATGCCAGAAAGTGAACAAGAGCTCTTGGAACCATTTTTGTGATGAAACCTGCCTATATCTTCAGTACATGGAGTAATGTGCCATTTCTGGACAGAAGTCAACCATGTAAGGTATTTTTAAGTCTTTTATAAAATCCCCTAAAATAAACTTCCCCATGCACAGGCCCATTTTCTGAATAGTCTTGAGGAGAAACAAAACCAAAAAAAACCAACAAAAAAACCCCCTACAAGATCTGAATTCCACACTGAGTTTTATTTATCCTTAGGTCACAGGGACACCTAAAGGAGAAGAAAACACACCGGACCTGATGTGCCTACCTGAAATGAAATATTGTACTATTCAACTAGTGCCCTGGAAAACTGCCTGGCTTATTTACTTTCCCTCTTAATTTATAGAATCATAGAACCATAAAATATCTCAAGTTGGAAGGCACCCATAAGGATCATTGAGTCCAACTCCATGTTTCTTGCAGGACTACCAAAAACTAAACCATATGACTAAGATTGTCATCCAGAATTGCTCTTATAGTGCTAGAAATCTTCTGGAAGGTGATAATGTTTCTCCCAGGCCAAGGGTCCTGCTCTTTGAATCTGAAACTTCAGCTCCCTCCTTTGGCTCCTAACCACTATTTCAACTTCACTCAAATTCGAAGAAGGTATAGTTCAAAACACGAGAAAATTAATTGGAAAAAAATATAATTAAGCTCCTCTTTGATGCACTGATGCTGAAGGCAAAACAGGCACTACTTTTATTTTTTCTGTTGCTGACACTAACAAGGTTTCCTGAAAGCAAATTCAAATATCATAGAAACAAGAACTGCCTCAGTGCCTATGAAAAACTAAGCTGACAGGGTAGCAAGATCACTTTCCACCAGCCCACATGCAATCTGCATCTCTGGCTGAATTGGAGACAACACCTTCAAGGCTGAAAAACACGTGCCCAGAATCAGTCATGTGTTGGCCAAAGCTCAGTTCATGTAAAAGACTTGCATAACTTTTCTGTCTCATCCTCTTGAAGACTGATACATTTAAAATTGTAACAACGTTCTGATTTTACCCAATATTCTTCTGCTTCCAAGAAGAGGTTTCACTTCAATAAAATGCAGATTTAAATCCTATTTAGGCTTAGGAGAAGGATGGTTACATTAGAAAGGAGACAGAAAAAGAGATGGTCTGGACAATCTGTTAGCCTTGCTGCCTGGATCACAGCAGGTCACATCACTGGGGTCCTCTTCCATGTCATACCTTATGCGTGACAATCATATTATATAAAACAGCGTAAAGTTATCTTCCAGCTATCTTCTACCAGGTAAACTGAGGAAGCACAGCTTTATGTCTTTACCTGCACCAGCTTTGCCAACCTAAGACACGCAGGGCTCCCTGCAGCCAGATTTCAGGCTAATGACAGAGTTATTATGTCTAGAGGACTTTTTCCTTTCCTTTAGCTAGGACGAAACTGCTAACCTTTACAAACCAAATCAGCTACTGATTTGAACTAATAAACACCTCATGACAGGGATCTTTCTCCCTCTAACAGAACCTCCTGACAGGTCCCGCCAGTATTTACAGCCCACATCTTCCTGCGAGGCTCTGCACTCCGTTCCCAGTTCAGTCACTTCGGATATCTTCCTGTTGCCAGGATGATCTCACTACCAGTACAGTTTAAAGACACCATATCACCTCTCCAAAGGCTTTCAGAAGCAACTGGGAAGTATCTTGTTCATCCAAGATGCCTCTGAGTTCACTGCTTTCCTGTTCTGAGCCAGCTGGAAGCTGGGTAGCTGTGGCTAGTGTGCCTGTGCTCCTAAGCAGGATACATTAACTCAAGCCCAGCGTGGTTCTAACTCAGATACACAGCTTGAACCCACCTCAAAACATTAACAGAACCAAATTCATATCCAGCTGCCACAGGCTGCATAAACAAGACCAAAGTTCCTGATTTATAGTTCTTTTTGGAGACTATATTTTTTGCTGCCTGAGACGCTCATTTGTCTTCTAACAAGAGCACAGGCTTGTGCCAGATGCAGCAAAGGTCCCTTTGACACAGGAGCTTGTAGGCTGAGCAGAAGCTTTCAATTTGTCACACATCATGCCATCAAACAGCCAGTTGGATCAAAATGGTTTCTGTACCCGATTGCTGTGCCTGGAGAAGGAACTAACATTGTTCAGAGGATGGGATTCAGTCTGACACGAGGACATTTACATTTGGGTCTTTACCTGATAACTGAACCAATATCTGAAGCAAGGGTGAGAAAGAGTTAAGCACATGTAGGTATCTAGTACCCCTTGAGATGCACTCAGGATACTCTGTTCTTCCTAGTTGGTCCTGGTGACTGACCTCCAATTGCTGCTGCTGAAGGACACTGATATTCCAGGTCACTGGTCTGTGTCACACCTGCCAGACGCATGGAGAAACACTGGGGCATTTTATACTACACCACATAACTACGTGCAGGCAACTAGATCCCAACCAAAGTGGGAATCTAGGAGCAAAGCAGTACCAGTAACCATCGACTACTGCCACAAGTCTTGACCACAAGTAAAGCAAAGATGTATTAACATAATCCCATCAATGTGTTACAGGAGCTTACGCCTCCTAAGACTGACCCACAGCTGAAAAAAGCTTAAATTTCCCTTGTTACATTGCCAACACTCTATCATAAAGCATGTAGCACTGGACATCCAGTTGATCTTGAAAAGTCCTGTTCCTGTCCCACGTATCAGTCACTGTGATAGAAGCCAAACCATGTAATTCTTTAGCACTCTGACTGTGAGTGGCCAAACTTGAAAGTAGTGTTGTTTTCTGTATTGAAAATAAACACGAAACACAGGGCATACCTCCTGGCTGATGCTTAGCACTGGTTAGGAGCAGTCCTAAATAACAGTAGACCCACGTGTGTGCTTGCATCTCACCCTTAATCAAAATGGAGGATTATGGAAATCCAAGAGGATTTTATTTTTTTTTTTAAGATCACAATGCAACCCAAGTATTCATGTGTAACACTGAGCATTAGGTAGAGATTTCAAAAATATTCACAGATATTAATATTTCCAAAGCTTGTTGCAAATCTTTAGAGATCTAATAAATGAGTTTTTAAGCTTTTACAAACAAGGGTGGGGGAACATCTGCACTTTCATCTGTTTAAGGAATATGCTATTTAAGAAGTTTTAAGCTATCACCATAGCTGCAAAGTTTTTAAAAGCAAAAACGGAGTAAAGGAAATAATCCTGTCCTCTAGTCACAACACTTCTCCAGTCTCTTCAGATAAAACTCCTCTGTATGTGCTTGTGCAGAGATAACAACTGTTCAAGTCAGGCAGACAAGCACACAAAGAGTGTCATTAAAATACAGCAGCATTTTCCTGAGCTGGTACAGCAGACTGTTCCTATCAGCTCAGGTTTCTCATACCAGCTAAACCACAACAAAGATATTGAGTCTTCACCCTGCTCTGTTCCACGTTCCCTAAATCAACACTGGCTGCTACACACACCTTCCTCTTTCTCATTTTTAAGAAGGTGGTTTCACAGAAGTGCAAATCCATTTCAGTCAGTGATGGTCTGCTACCATGGTTTGCTGTCCCCCTCAACCCCAGCAGTCCTGCAATAATTCAATAAAATCTGAAAGATGACCCAGGAAAAAAGTTAGTTTTTAATTTTAAGTGGGAAAGAAATGTAAGGAGGGGCTGCACTGGGGTGGTCACAACTTAGATCAGCTTAAAATGCCATGGGACCTCTCCACTATACTAGACCACCTTGAACATGTGTCAGTCCCTCTGGATGGCAGTCATGTACTGGTACATTTTTTCTCATTTTCTGAAGCCTCTAGCAAATGGAGGTGTGGGGGAGGTGGGCCATCACCAAATTACCTAGCCAGTGGGTAAGAGTAGGCACTCCTCAGCAGCTGGTGTGTAGTTCTCTGTTTTCTGACTCACTTGTCAAAGCCCACATTCAGCAACAACATGGATCTTACAGGATGGATGCTGGGCCACAGCAAACGCATATCACGACTCTTTTGGGTACAGCACTAGTCCAGATAGTTCCTGGGTACTAAATCTGAATTAGTTCTCCAAGAAGCTTTCAGGGGGTGAGACATTGTCTTCCTACTCTCTGTTTGCAACTGGAAGGGCACAATTCCAATGACAGAATGAGTGGAATGAACCCCAAAACATAAACAGGTCTGAGCTGATGGGTTCCACCCTGGTTCTTAGAGGGGAAAGTCATCCCTGGCAGAGAGACAGCACAAAGCCTACCCGTGCGTGTGTCCCACCATAGAATCACGGAGTGGTAGGGGTTGGAAGGGACCTCTGGAGATCATCTGGTCCAACCCCCCTGCCAAAGCAGGTTCACCTGGAGCAGGTTGCACAGGTCACATCCAGGCGGGTTTTGAACATCTCCAGAGAAGGAGACTCCACACCCTCTCTGGGCAGCCTGTCCCAAGGCTCCGTCACCCTCACAGTAAAGAAGTTTTTCCTTATGTTTAAGCAGAACCTCCTGTGTTCCAGCTTGTGCCCGTTGCCCCTTGTCCTATCGCTGGGCACCACTGAAAAGAGTCTGGCCCCATCCTCTTGACACCCACCCTTTAGATATTGATAAACACTGATAAGGTCCCCTCTCAGCCTTTTCTTCTCTAGGCAAAAACCAACAAGAGGAAGAGAAAGAGAACATGGCACGAAAGGTTTGAAGGTTTAAACTGTGTGAGGGTGAATGTCTATGATGCCTCCAAAAAAAGCTGAGACAGTGACAAGAAAAGCACTTTGCATAATTGCTTGCAGCCTTTTTGAAGGAGCTTAACCCTATATGTTAATTTCATTTCGTAAACTCCTACATAATGCAAGACTGGCTCAATCTTTTAAAGACAGCTGGGATCCAAGTCTGTTTTTTATGAATTTTTCTATTACTGCCCCTGTATATATTTGCTGAAGGAAAAATGGCATTGAGATCCAGAAAGGCCAGTTGTTGATGAGACCTCAGAATTGATAGGAACACAGTGGAATCAGCTGGTGAAAGTTTAGTTTTCAGTGCCAAAGAAGCTTTTGGTCTTATTGTTATTATTACTAACATTTACTATAGCAGCTGTAGGCTCTGAACAAAGCCAGGAAGGATCCGCATAAACATACATCATCAGGGACAGAGTGTAATAAAGCATCCTTTTTTAAAAACCATGTGAGTAGGGGATGGGGAGAGAGGATAAATGATTTGCCTGAATTCACAGGGAGGATTTGTTGCAGAGACAGAAATTGAATCTGTCTCAGAAGTCCCAAATTAGTATGTTAACCTTAAGCTTAGCTTTGCATTCATGTATGCTGAGAAATGTCATTGAGAAGAATGAAGGAAAAAATACAGACCTTGTCATCCAGAATAGGCTCGCACTGAGAGTAATTTATCTTGGAAGCCCATGTCCCATTGCCCAGGCATTCTCTGTAGGCATTTCCTGGTATGGACCAAAATAAAAGAGAGATGAACACTGTGCTGGACTTAAAACAGCCTAGCAGTTTCATAGATTTAAGGAAAGGTTAAAGAACAGATTATTCACAAGGCAAATCAATTATTTATCCCACCCCTGTGAGGACTAGAACAGCCTGCTGAGGAGTGTAGAGGAAAAATAAAGGACATAAACACAACTAGAGACAATGAATATTTTAAGATACTTATTGATAATGTTTTCTTACAGCATATGGGTTCAGGAGACAGCAAAGGTATGAGAAGAGCATTGCAAGAGAAAGCTTAATGTTAGTATAGTCTTTTAAAAAGCAGTTAAATTATGTATTCAGAAATATGTAGAAAAGTTTAGGTCTTTAGTGCTCCATCTAGGAGAATATTATGTGTATGGTAAACTTACTGCTCTACTTCCCTCCTATTTATCCCACTGTAAACAAGAAGCAACATCCCTGGAGATACTGATTTTCTAGAGTCTTCCTATGCAACAACATTATTGGTAAAACTTCCACAAAGATTCTGGAAAAGGAGCAAGATAAACACTTCCCCCAACCCTGGGGCAGGCAGACCACACAAGAATGTCTCTGAACAGATTTCAGAAACGAGTACACCTAGGTTAGGATGCCTTCATCCATCCTCTGTGAAAATTAAACCACTTCTGATCTTTTTCCAAGGTGCTAGTTCTCCCAGAATGTGAGTGAAAATCATTAATTACTTTACTGAAGCAGAGAGATTCCATGTCCAATGGCAATGTCACCCTGAAGAGCTCTGGGAACTGCGTGTAGTAGTAGTAATTTTGGGGGTGAGGAGGGGAGTTCAGTTTCTGGCAAACACTCCTCTTCATCACAAGGAATTCAGAGAGAAAACTACGCAGTTTTGCTGTACAAACCACCTTCCTCTACTCATCAAAAGCACATCCAATCCCAAGCAATAGGTTTTTTCCATGCTTATTTTGAACTGTGTCTTAGAAACAAGAGAATTAAAATAAAACAGGAAATTCAGAAAGATTCCCCAAAGGACACATATAAACAACTTCCTAATGAACTCTTTATGATGTTCTTGCTGCCCTTTACCCAACTTCTTCTTGGGCCTTTGCCATGGTCATTCAGTGCTAGTTCAGCACCCAGCCATCAAGGAAAATAAGATGTCAAATAAAAGCATCAGACTGATGCTAAAAGTGCTGTTGACAACAGCCCTTGAAGAAGGTAGGTAGACCTTTTGAAACGGTGTTTTGGAAAGGAAAGTTCACATAGAAAGCAACAAATAACCATTCACCTAGATGCTCCAGATTACACCGTATTCATACAGATCACTGAATTTCATACTGCTATTTCCTATTTGCACTTTTTCACTGTTTCTTCTAGGAGGCAGAAGACCAAATAAAATAAAAGAAAATTACCAGTAACATTTTGGGTCAACCAAAGAAACTTGTGCTAAAGGTTAAGGACCTCAGTTTCCATTTCTGTCACTAGCTCACAGACAAATTCACATACTTCCCTCTCTTTCTTACTGGAGAACCAAGTATAGACTGACATTTTCTGTGTAATTTTTTGGTGCAATTTTCCTCTGAAAGCTAAACATTTAGACTTCTTTCTTTTGCTCCATTTATTACTATTCAGCAACCCAGACTAAATATGTCTTGGGGCATCTTTTACCTTCTTCCTCTCAGACAAGGTCTGAGTGGGATTCAAGTGGTTGAATCCAAGTTACATCCCTGAAAGCCCTTGCATTTGGCCCCTTCTTTTGGCCAGTGCTGAAGCTCTCTGTGCAGGAATCGTTGCTGCTTTTGAGTCTCTGTAGCAAACATCTGGCTCTCCGGACACTGAGTGAGAAGTTTTGGTGCTTAGTTGGATATTGAATCCCACTTTCAGGATAGTGCTCATAGGATATCCTTGTTTTATTCATTCTGACTCTTCCTTTCCCTCACCATCTCTTTCCAGCTCAGGTGTGGAAATCACAAACACAATCAACACTATGGGACACTCAGAATGTCCAACTGGGTCTACATAAGTACCTGAGAGGGAAAGGCACATTTGATTCAAGTTATTTCAGAAATTGTCAGGAAACAAAAATAGCTTGAAGTTGAGTGAAAGGCGAGTGTCAAAATTTTTTAAAGAAGATCCCTTTGACCCCAAGATTTCTCTCAGTTGAAAAAGAAAACAAATATTAGTAGTGCTTCCCACATCCACACTAACTTCTTCCTCTGCTCTTCTCATTGTTATTTCCATTTTACAGGTACAGAAACAGAAGCAAAACGTGTGTACGTGACTTCCTGAAAATGACCTGGTAGGACATGGCAGAGCGGTGAACCATCACAAACCATGTATTCTAACTTATCAGGCCATAATGCTTCTGTCTTCCGCAGTATGTCTTCCTGCTCATTAAAACCTTCTTTTCAGAAGGATAAATGTGTGTCTCATGCTTCTTGTCTAAAATGAGTGACGAGTGTTGTCCCCCATGGGTCACTACTGGGGCCAGTACTGTTCAACATCTTTGTCAGAGACATGGACAGTGGGATTGAGTGCACCCTCAGCAAGTTTGCCAACAATACCAAGCTGAGTGGTGTGGTTGACACGCTGGAGGGACGGGATGCCATACAGAGGGACCTTGACAGGCTTGAGAGGTGGGCCTGTGCTAACCTCATGAAGTTCAACAAGGCCAAATGCAAGGGCCTGCACCTCGGTCAGGGCAACCCCAAACATAAATACAGGCTGGACAATGAGTGGATTGAGACCAGCTCTGAAGAGAAGGACTTGGGGTTGGTGGTGGATGAGAAGCTCAACATGAGCTGGCAACGTGCACTTGCAGCCCAGAAGGCCAACTGTACCCTGGGCTGCATCAAGAGAAGTGTGGCCAGCAGGTCGAGGGAGGGCATTCTCCCCCTCTACTCCGCTCTCATAAGACTGCACCTGGAGTACTGTGTCCAGTTCTAGAGCCCCCAACACGAGAAAGACATGGACCTGTTAGAACGAGTCCAGAGGAGGCCACAAGGATGATCCAAGGGCTGGAGCACCTCTGCTGTGAGGACAGGCTGAGCGAGTTGGGGCTGTTCAGCCTGGAGAAGAGAAGGCTTAGGGAAGATCTTACAGCTGCCTTCCAGTACCTGAAGGGGCCTACAAGAAAACTGGGGAGGGACTTTTTATAAGGGCAGTTAATGATAGAAAAAGGGGAAATGGCTTCTTTGCTGTGAGGGTGGTCAGACACTGGAACAGGTTGCCCAAGGAAGTTGTGGATGGCCCCTCCCTGGAAGTGTTTAAGGCCAGGCTGGATGAGGCTTTGGGTAACCTGATCTAGTGGAAGGTGTCCCTGTCGATGGCAGGGGGGTTGGAACTGGATGATCTTTAATGTCCCTTCCAATCCTAACCATTCTATGATCCTATGATAAAAGAATTATTAGAGAACAGATAATGATCAGCAAAAGAAGATCAAGTATAATGAATGCCATCCATTTACACCTCCATTTTGATGTGTAACCCTTCCACTTAGAATATTAGGCGCCATAAGATATGCCCCTGAGCTCTCTTTCAGTGCAAATGCAGGAATCCTATACGACACCCACATCAAGGCAGACCTTTGAGAAACAGTGATCTCAGTTCATGAGCTGTCACACCAAAGTCTTACATGGTGAGTAGCTGAACAAGAGGAGGATAAAATCAAACTCTGAATGTCTCTAGTCCAGAATCTCCTCCAGTATCATCCACTTCTCGGAAACAAAAGCAACAAGTAGATATGACTTCTGGGAATGTCTCATTCCAAACTCTAATAGTCATAAGTAATTTATACCCCAAAGCAAAGGTCTTCTTTCTTTTTTCCAGATGCCTTACAGCATTAGTTCTAATAGCCACATGGAAACAAGTTTCCAATCATACTGAATGTATTTTCATATATCTATTTTAATAGCATAATACAGATCTTTTACCCAGTGCTTTAAAAGAGAAACATCTTATTTAGTGAGTGAGGTAATACTAGAGTAAGAGCCTCACTGCAGGCATCTGGAAGAAGCAGCTCTTGTTCATGCACAGATGAATCCCATGGCATATAGTAAGTGATTCTAGCATTTCTTGGAGATATTGGATCAATCCCATATGCAGTGGACAGAGGCTCACTGCGTTCAGAGTCAGTCAGTCACATCTGGCATGTGCTGATCTAGCTTCCTGGGTGTGCTTGTATATCTCTGCACAGAAGACCCTGGATAAAACAATAGCAACTTCAAATAATGGTCTTAAGCTTCATAGCATCCCTACTTACTGTCAAAAGCAGCACAAAGAAGATGAAGAAATAACAGACACTGGACTTGATGACAGGCTGAGTCATTGGGACATGCAGAGTTGTAGCAGTGATCAAAGCAGCAAAGAGATGCCAAAAAGATGTCAGATACATTGGTTCTGTGAAAGACAGCAATGGAAGGTATGCATTCCTCAGCTTCAGGGTATGTAAAGGAAGAGAAGAAGGAAACCAGCAGTCTGATCTTACCAAGAGACTTTTATGATCTCTTTGGTGATTGAACACGCTGAAGAATATTCCTTCTCACCTGGTTTTTCCAATGAGAACTGGGATTAATGTGCCTTGTGCTAGAAACATTCTTGCCCTTTCCTTTAAAGCACTGTGTACAGAAAGAGACTGAATTAAGTTCAACTTTTCTTAACAGTTGTAATGAAAAATAAGGAGAAAATAGAAGAGTCGTGATGGAGAACATTGTGGAAACAAACAATGAACTCGGAAGAAGAAAAGAATAACTACATGACCTTTCTAGGGCAACAATAGCTAATGAGAGCTATTAGCACTATTTTTTTTTTCCTAGTCAAAAAAAAAAGTGCCAATTTTCATTTCCTTAGACATATTGAAGAACTCAGTATACTTTTTCTTCTTATAATTTCTCCTTCCTTACTGACTTTATGCTAAAAAACAGATACACAAAATAAAGAGATTTTTAGTGGTTATAACTTGTGGTTATTTGTGCTCTGTGTGCACTTGCCCTCATATAATACAACTGGACAAGCAGATTTAATCTTCATGCAAATACATAGTAAGCAGTAGATGACTCATGATGACACAGGCAACACACAGCCACTACACACATAGCTTTTGACACATCATCCAATATTAATTTCTATGCTTCAGTCTATGGCCTCTTCTTTGACTTTGAAAATGTTGATTTCCTTTTGTTGTAGATTATTAGCAACATTTGTGGCACTTGATTGCTTCTGCTTAATCACCAGTCCAGGGGACAGGCAAGGAGGTAAAAGGGAACTCCCTGAAGAGAAAGAAACATCCAGTAGTGCTCAGATGGTCAGTCAGGTTGACTTCCAGAATAAGCCAGTATAACATGTTCACTTTTATATTTCCTCTAAGGGCTGATTCAATTGTGCTGATCATGGTCATAATCTATCAGTAAAGCTGATGACAGCAATGGCAATATTCACCAGGGTCAAAGGCAGCAATTAGAGCCCTTCAGACAGCATCCTGCAATACCTTCCACCACTGTTTCTGCTCTGTAGTGGTGGCTGCTGTTTTGAAAGCCCAATGCCAAACCTTGATGTTTTGGCATCAGCCAACATTTCAGCTCCATACACAATATAGATATACATATGCAAAGACAGTAGAAGTCCCAGTGTTTGCATTTCTCATGGGCTCTAGGGTGATGTAAAAAGGTTCTCCATTTCTGAAAAACTTTCCACCACATCATAAAAAAGTAGGTAAGAGATCTGAGCATGACTGTAACAAAGCATTGGCAGGAATAGAACTGGGAAACTCTATTCCTTGCAAGAAGCTACCCATTTTGTTTATAGTTGGACTTGATGTTCTTAAAGATCTTTTCCAACCACTATGATTCTATTCTACGACTCTATAGCAGGAACAGCAAATCTTCGCTGTACAAAGCAGTTGTACAAGCAATGCTTGCCAAAAAGTCCTAGTGAACAACACTGTTCTAACCCATTCATAAAGTCTTTGTTAGCAATGTGTCACTGTTCACTCTTAGCTTAAACAGTCCTTAAGAGCTCATTCAGCAAACAGGAAACTTTTATCACCACTGATTTCACAGCATCTTCAGAAATGACCTCCTGTTGGTAAGTGCCCAGGAACAAGCAGTGTGGTGAGGATACTGTACACAGCGGTATGTGCCAAATCTGCCTCGCTCCAGCTTTTGGGAAAGTTGTGCCTAGCTCAGTCTATTTTTTAACAGTTCTTCTCTGAATGAAGTCAGAGAAACAATCAAATAACTACAGAAATGTCTCACTCATATATGTTTGTATATACTATTACTCACACACTACTACACAGAACTTGACCTTTTCTTAGTGGAGTACAATAATTTAAGAGCAAGTGAAAAATTTCAAGGTGGAGATCAAAAGCTCCTTGAATGGAGAAGAAAAATACAGTGCTGCCTTTATCACAAAGTTGAGCATGATAATCACAACTCTGTCTGGTTTTGGGGCAAGCAAGATTTTTAAGAAACCCTAGCATATAAAATATACTCTTAAATAAAGAGAAGCTGATCAACCCAGATTTGAGCAATGTATCCCCAAATACCCCATACCCCAATAATAATGGATAATTATTTTGATCTGACATGGAAGGATGTGACAGAAGCTTGCAGACTTTATTTTGTTCATTTTGAAGGACTCCTCACACTCAGGATAGCTGGTGTTTGACAAGGGGTGAGACATCCAAACTCTGTTTACAGCTTTGCCCATAGCCCTCTTCAGCATCTCTGCCACTCAGTACTGGTATCACAAGACTAGTTCTGGGAAAACTTGCATGGGACATCAGCAGGTTTTCACAAATAAGCTCAGGGACCTTTATCCCAGAACAGAAGTGTGACTTGTAGATGTCTAAACTACTGCAAAATTAATTCCTCCCCAACATGTTACACGTTATTGACAACACTGCTAGAGACTGATCTAAAAAGATCTGAGTGTTGTGTCTAACCAGTAAATGGAGCAGCAACAGTCAATATTTGTCATCCCAACTGTGATTTTTCTGCTACTTAGAAACCACTGAATTTGGATGGCT